CTGCCGAAGACGCACTTCTGCACCTTTGCCTATTTGTAACAGTCACTCCCGACACCCATAACTCACAGATCCTTGATCCGTTTCAAAAGTTCTTGGGCTCGTTGGAACGAGCGCGTCGAGCTCTTTCTAACGAGACCCTAACTGAGTCAAACCGTTACGAGTGAAAAGAGTTATGCCGGTTTTATCCTTCGCCGAAGGCACACTGTCGAAGGCTTGTTATCGCCGAAGCCGCCCGCAGAATGTTTCGCCGACTCCGAGTTCTCCGACCTCGAGTTCTCCGACTGGAAGTTGACCCAAAGACGTCCGTCGCCGAAGGCGAACATCTAGGGCCGAAGGCGGATATTCCGCCGACGACGAACTCCTTCCGCCTATCCGTAGGCGTTCTCCTTTGCATCTTCCGACAGTCACAACTCCCTGAGTCTTTATCCGTTCCAGGCGTTCTTGGGCTCGTTAGAACCAGAGCGTCAAGTTCTTTCCAACGAGACCCTAAGTAACTCAAGGCGTTTAGAATTGAGAAAGTTATGAGTGATCTACCGCCGAAGGTGCTCGAAGCGAGTCCTGCAACGTGAACCGCCCGTTCCATTCCAAGCGTTCCACTATGGCTTAAGCCCAAAACCCCTTGACTGTCCTCGATCCTCTTTTTACTCTGGCTTTGCGTACCGATTACCATTTACAGCTGCTACCACGGTATTTACTATTCAAAAATGTTTTAGTTCCGACGAAAAACAAAAAGTGGGTTACCACAGCACTTAACCCTTGAACCTTGGAGTAATACTTTGCAAAAATATCTCAAAGCACAGCTGCAGAACTGTAACGATATCCTTGGCATGCAAAACACAGGATTTCACATCTTTCTCTGCCATTACACCAAATAATAACTACCATAAACCCTGTATAACCATACTAATCTTACAGAAAAAAAAATTTGAAACAAGTATTCTTTGGAATAAAATCTATATTGTTGGATCAGAGTCTCCAAGTTGGTCACTAAGAGTAACGTAAACCCTATCTTATCATCCTTTTCTCAATAATAAATAAATGAAACAATGATATATAGATGAGAACTTTTATAATCGAATCAAAGTTTCATTAAAACTACCATAATACCTTATCAACCAGACTATTCTGAAAATAGCTATTCATAAAATAATGATCCTCCAAGTGAGAATCTATATTATAGCATCAAAATCTCACACTAATGAATTGAAACTACCATACCTCCTAAAAAAACACTGATACCTCTCAACTTTTAGGAAAATAGGTTTCACAGGATGGCTGCTACCAGAAACAACTACCTACTCTCACACCTCTGTACTCATTTATACCAATAGTTTCTTTCCATTCAAATACATTGTTTTATCCCTTCGACTACAATGTGAACAGATTCTTACATAATCCACAATATTCATGTCACAAAAGTGCAAAATAACAAAATTTTACAGACACACCAAATGCACCAAGAGAGTGAGCATTGCTACCTGCGAAAAAAACTTAACTTAATTTGTTAACATTAGGTGCAATGGCAGAGAAAGATGTGACGAATCAAATCGTGTGTTTTGCATGCGAATGTTCCCTGTTACAATTATGCAACTGAGCTTTCAGAGATTTCTGCAAAGAACTACTCCAAAACTTCTTCTAAGATGACATGCTTATGGTAAACAAAGGGACAAGTTTTGATTACGCACATGTTTTTCCTCGTCGAGTCTCTCGACCACTGCTGATGATGTGGTGCAAACGTAGTTCAATGAGAAGCATATGAATTCTCATTATAAAACGTTTTGAAAGGATCTGAAATCACCAGTAATCACAATACAGCATCACCAAATTTTATATCGCTGTTAACAATCGAAATTCAAGAAGGTGGAAACTATTGCCTCCTAGCTCCTCAGATTGAAAGCATGAAAAAATAGTTTTAAACGACGCATTGTAGCAAGGCGTTCCTCTCGTTTCAAAAATTGGAAACACGTAGTTGCAAAATGTAGCAGATGTGGTCGGACGGTATACGCGCTTTGTTTTTACTCGTTCCACGGCCATTGATAATGCGCTGCTGATTTAAATTATGCGGAAATTACACCCCATGATGCCCGCGTGACTGTGTCATCAGTATATCACATGTTGATTTATTCTATGACACAGAAAGCGATCGGCCCTCCACATTTTTTTTTCTAGATCACCTCTAGGTGTTGAATTTCCGTTTGTCACTTGCGAGAACTTGCAGGCACAACAGTGCAGCATTTGGCACACTCGTCCAAATGCAAGGAATAGGCTCAGCGCTTCTTCCCATCAGGCTTTCATTCTTCGCATGAGAGTAGCGGTTTTTCATACAGCGTCCTCGACCGTTTCTAGAAAATTTTAGAAATCAAACTGTTTCTCATTAACATTATTCGAATAAGTACCTCATTTTCACAAAATTATCTTAGAGTTATTAATTTCTATATTTCAAAATTGTCAAAATATTTTTATAACAGGTATGGTTTGTCGAGAAAAATATAACGGAAGATCAAAATTTAACATTCTCCACTATTGGTATCTAACTTTAGTACTTTATCAAGATCAATACTTCTCATAAAAGTCCTAGACATATTTTTTCCAAAGAAATAAAAAAAATTCACTACAGTTTATAGAGTAAATCATAGTGCGAGTAGAAAGAAATCATGTACGAAGACTTGGATCACATGAACTTCAGATTGTTTTTAATAATAAGTAGCAAAAAATTTTCATGCGGATAAATTTTCACGTTTTAAAAATAAAAATTTGACAAGCTTGAATAATCACAAAAACAATGTGGTAAGCTTGAATGTGTGTTTATTCATTATAATTGCATATGTTACACCAAATATTTGAGTTCAGTTTGGGAATTGTAATATTATTGCGAATTTTACTTTCGTATAACAGATTCTATTTTCAATAAATAAATAAAATCACTAATACATTTGGAGGGTGTAGATCATAAATTTTCAAGGTCCTCTTGTAATATAAAAATTATATTTTCGCTAGAAGCGAACCTCATGGAATACAAAAGAAAAACAAGTGATTAATTTCACAATAATTAATAGCGATAAAATTTTGCGGCCACAACTGTACACTATCATCGATATTTGCTACTCACGATGTATGTCATTTCTCTTGTGATCGTGGTGATCACACAAAGTACCAATTGCAAACGATCACGCTCGTCACCCTCAAAGTTATTATGATGTACTTCCCCATTATCATGTAAGAACGAAAACTACTACTCAATCCAAATTTAAAATTAGTTTTTGAGGCTATACTTTGAAGTTCATACATAACAAATTGTAACTTCAAAGTAACAATTTCTCAGCAGTTCCTATCAATAGTGGATAACGTCCACTATTGTGACCTCAACGACATGTGGATAATGTCCACCACTTCTTGGAGTCCAAATAAATGAACTCGTGATATATATATATATATATATATATATACATATATATACTCGAACAGTTTCGGTTGAATCTACACGGTACAATTTTCTGTGACAAATATAATGGGTCTTACTCTTGCTGAATATCAACCATTGTTGTGTCAATCGTTGATCATTCGCCTCAGACATTAAACCTCAAAGGACGTTGTGTGCAAACATATGGCATTCCGGCCAAAAGGTATCTAGGCCGTGCATGTTTAATGGCAGACGGCACAAGTACTTGTGGGGCAGGCCGGACATGGCTTGCTGGATTAAAACATTCCTAGTTTAAGGGATCTTGCCTCAGTCTTCGACTCGAAGGAACTCGAAACGCAGCACGAATTTCAGATCCGCCCTCACGAGACCGCGTTTCGCCGTGACTCCTCGGTCCTCCAAAATGTAATGTGTGCCCCTGATTTTCATTTCATCGCTTTATTCCTGTGCAGCTGCGTTTGATACATGTGACCACCAGGTTCACCACTTGGATTTGACGACATATACCTGTGCACGGAGATTAATATGAATCGTAAAAATAAGAAAAGAAGTAACTCCCTTAACGATCTACGCCTTTCACAAAGCTTTCCACAGATGGATCATGCAGATGAGACATCCTTTGGAGCTTTTTTAATACCTATTGAGAACCATACGATTCATTTAGATGTATATGTAGCAATATTGTCATGTCCAATAACACAAACTCATCAATTCATGCTCTATCAGATTCAAACTGATGTGGAAAGAACGATCATGAAAATTTCAATGACGTTGTGACTTACAAGTATTAATAACATTTAGCTTATAACAATAGATATCATGCTCCAAGTGAACTTCGTTGCGAAAGTCCAACTAGCCCAACAAAATCTCATGACTTTGAATAAATACAATGAAATAACCCATCATAATCAATACACGTATCATACAATCGAAAGCTATCTTCAGATTGCTCAAACAACATTCATAACATGATCTCAGATATATTCTTATAGATATTCTCCAATATATCTAATGGAGTGAAACAGATGAAGTAGATTTCAGGCAAACAAGTCAACAAGCCTAAATAAATATATCTTTTTGGTTTTATATCTTTTTGGATTTTACATGGTCCAATGCAAATTCGAACTATGCTACTCGTGAAAATTTGGCTTTTCTCAAGGTTCGTCTTCATTCGGTAATCTCAACAACCAGTGACGTGGAAATGCCAACGCGGACGACCAGTGAGGAGCAGAAGGCAGGGCAAGGACGAGGCCTCGGGAGCTGGTGGGCCAATGGGAAGGGCGGGTGCAGCCTTGTCACGCGTTCCCAGAAACCCGACGATCCGCCAATCAGCGGCGCCTCGAGCCGATGTGATTGGCCCGGACCGTAAATTTCTTGTCACCGGCCCCGTAGTCCCAACTCCCGAATTATCCAAATTTTCGGTCCCCACACAGCGGGCGAGGCCGAACATTCCCGAAGCCGGCGGTCGTCTCCGGTCGCCGGGCCGTCCCTGCTCGGAGTCTGAGACTAGCGACCTGCGACCACCGGTGGCCCACGAGCAGCAGCAGCAGGCGAAATCTCGAGCTCCCGAGGAAGTCCGATCGATCGATGAAGAGGAAGACGAGGATCGAGCGCAAGCAGACGTCGAATTCGACGCAGCGGACTGACGGGAGGTGCCGAGGAGCAGAGCTCGCGGAGGGCCGGGCAGGGTAGCGGAGGAGAGCAGCAGGGCCAGAAGCGAGGGAAGGCAGCGAGGAGACGTCGCGTGGAGGCCTGCGGGTCCGGCGTCGGTTTAATTTCTCGGAAACGAGGGGTTCCAATTGCGCTTTGCAGGGAGGGCGATTAGATTTTTTGTAGGAAGATGATGGGCTCGAGAAGGAAATGCACTCCCTCATGTCCGCACCAGTCGTTTAGACTGCTTTCGCACCAGCGTTTATTGATCGTTACCTCTCTCTTTCTTCGAGCTCTGAATGTGTACGCTTCTACTGCTGGTAAGTCAAACCGCGTGATCTTGGGATTCCCATTCTCCTCTTTTATCTCCAACGTTCTCCTTGAACTACGCGTGACTTAATCGTGAAGAGGAATTGAGCGTTGATTTTGGAATTTTCGTGGGGGCGAGTGGGTTCGCCTGATGAGGAGGAATAGGAATTCATTTTCTTTAGTTTGCATGTTTTATTTCCCCGGACGTCCTTTCGGGTGTCGCAACTTATTCACATTGTTCAAATTATCGATTATGGGAGCTGAGTGACATCTGTCGACATGATGTTATGGTCAATATAGTAACGATTCCTCATTCGTGAGGACAATTGTATCGGCAGCTGTCAGTATTTGGTATTTAGATCAGTGATCATAACGATCGCGAAGCCTAAAGCTTCGATCATATCTTTTAGTATCTTTTGAATGTGTTCTTACTTGAATTGGAGATTTTACCTTACTTTTCGCAAATATGTTACTGTTTCAATCAGTAGCTCAAGCAGGATCCTGTTGACACTCAGTGGAAACCTCGTATTACTGGGAAAAATGTGGACTTTATTGGCCAGCAAGTGGTTATGGTTGAGTACTGTTTTAGAGAAGATTATTCTTAGGCACAACAAAATAGGGCGGAAGCTATTCAGATTTAAACCAGATGAGATACTGCTGGAGCACAGTTTTCGTGTTCATGTGTTGCCAGAATTTTCTCACCTCTCATACACAGCTCGTTGTACCATTTCAAGTTCCGGGCTTTTCAACAAGATTAGTTCGATGCCGAGAACTTAAGTTGCAGCTTGGCCAGAGCTTTTTCTCAACGGTCATGTCCAAAGGTGTACTCCAAAATGCTTCACTTGAAGATGATCATCATCTTGGAGAGAAAGAGGTCAACCACAGAGGTCATTGAATGCCAACCGTGCCGACCTTTTACCTCTTTCCCTATGCAAGGGTTGTGAGCAAAGTAAAGGATGCACTTTGCAAAATTTCAATATGATTAGGTCTTGGACTCATGTATATTCCCACCCCGGATTTCGTCACCTGGCTGTGTTAGAGGTCTGCTCAGCTTACTGTCTCTCAAGACATTATACTCTCAACACTTACGTGATCAGAGTGCCGGAATCACTGAGGGTGGCAATCCAGTAAACTTGATCAACCCATCGAAGGAATGCGGCCCCTCAAACCGAGAATTCTAGCGGTTCTTCTGAGTTTGGCCGAAGATATGCTTCTCTGATTTTAACTTATAGATTGTGCAAGTTTGTTAAAAGAGTCCTCCTATCGTCGTTCTTCGTTGTATCCTAGATATAACAATCTCATTTAGAGAAATGGATACTTATTTATCTACCGGGTAATGTTTATGGTGTCTCGGAACCAATTTGGACTAATTGATTCATTCAATCACGGCCTTCACCTTGTCGACTCATATCTGTCAGCCCCTTGATGATAAGTAGGCGCCGACTGTGAGGGGTAACCTGATCAGAGAGCTGAAGCATTTTGTCTTTGGTGACAATGTATCTGGTGCAGTAAGCTTGCAACAACTACGGAAATGAGCTTGATTCTAACCATAATATTGCTAACCTTAGTATTGCTTGCTAGCTAAGTTTTTAGCTGTTCCTCTGAAGGAAGTTCAAGTAGGGCTTTTCCTTATAGAACCAACGTTGCAACATGAATTTCTGTCCACAGTGTGGTGAAGGGTTCAAATTCGAAATAGCATGGTGGGCGGAGCTATCACGTAGCAAATTAAGTCTTCTTTAGTTCGCTACTGCAGATCGCTAAGTGTGTAGAGATGAGTAGTGGGATGAGACTTATCCTGCTTGGGAAGAGTAAACTCGTTATCCGCTCCTGGAAAGAGCTGCGTTGAGGTCTTCAAGTTTAGTCGATTTTGCGTTAGGGCAATTCATTACAGGTTTCTATGTGAGGTACTTTTAATACTGGAAGGGGTTTGACGTAGGAAACACTTTACCTTGCATGTGGTTGACATGGAAGAGCAGGACATCCTTTGTGTCCTTTTGGGATTCGAATTCTGGCTTCTTCAGTGAATCATTTCATGTTAATTATAGGTGCAATTCCTAATGAAGCCAGGTTAGCGAATCAATTTCGGTTAGTTCGACTTTCTTCGCTTTTGAGTTTGTTTTTGCACTTTGGTGGGCTTGCTGCTCGTTCTCTTTACAGGCCGTCCCACGGCCTTAATCGTTTCGCGTGGACTTCAGACATTCCTTTTTTCTTTCCCTTTCTGGAGATACGCAACTCATTTTAGCGCTTTAGTCGGTGTGATCCAATAACAAGGGTTTTGAAGAAGGAACACAAACATCAGCATCTGAAACTTCTTGTGCACATACAGTTCCCTTGCTAGTGATTTGGGTTGAATGTTATTAATTACTAGATATTTCATCATCAATACGTGATGTGCTCAACTTCACGCTGTTTTTTACCATTCCCTATTCGCTAATTTCTAAAGCGTCACAGATGTGTGATGGACTTGTCTTCATATCCGCAAGAGTTGTGTTAAGCAGGTTGTGCAAATAGCTCGATTTCTCCCAGTTTATTTCATTTGCCTAAGAATACTTCAATTATCTTAAGGCTCTTACATTTTTTTCCCGGAGACAAACTCTTGATCGCCATCTACTTTCATAAACAACGGCACAGCATATAATCCATCCTCAGTTTGGATAATAAAAAACTTTGATTTCGGTCGTGTTTATTTGACGAGCTCTAGAAGCCTCCGGAGTTTTATTGCTGTTATCTAGAACGGTTGGCTTAATGAATATGCATTCTTATGTCTGTTTGCAGCCTCGTACCTGCAAGAAGGTGATGCTGCGGTTGCCAATGGTGACTACACTATCGCGGTCCGTCATTATAGCAGTTTTATTGGTATGAATATCCTCCCTATATATGTTTGTACGCAGTTTTAATACTTAGTATCAGTACGCATTGTTATGTGCAACATACTCTGTTGTCCGAATTCCAATGCTTAATGTACTGTGTCCTCAATTTTGACTCTTGTTAAAGTCAGCCTTGTTTTAAGACACTTGATTAATACTTGGCAGTGTTTCCTTCTAACTAAATCTTCAAACATATGTTATTTCCCGGCAGATTTGAATCCTGCTGCAGCAATAGGCTACTCCAAGCGGTCGGCGGTTTATGTACAGCAAAAAAAATACAAGGAAGCCATCTATGACTTGGATAAAGCTGTCGAAGTTGATCCAGTATTTGTTCAGGGTTATTTGAATAGGGGCCGCCTTTTTCGACAGAGCTGCAGGTAAAATTCTCCAGCTTTACTTAAGTTATTCAAGGAAATATATTCAGGGCTGATTATAGAGCTGCTACTCTAATGATTGACGCCCATTTCTTCTGAAAATATTAATACAGAAGTGTGGATTGGAAGAAGATATTGTTTTCAGACTCCTCCATCTAATTGAATGTTGAAGCGGCAAGTGGTTCAATTGATAAATTTGTCTCCTAGTTGTTTGAAAGAAAAATGATGTTGAATTTACGAAAGCATAATCAAGACAAAAACTTTCCCGTCATTTTCTGGTTTTTATAACTTACAGTAGGGAGTTGATCTTGATGATTTTGAATAACAGTTGGTGCTCGGAAACAGGTTTGAAGAGGCGGAAAAAGATTTCAATAAAGTTATTGAGATCAACCCGGAGCACACAACCTCAAGGAAAGAACTTGCGCAGTCCTTGCAAGCCAGGGAGAGCCTTTTGGATGCTCTTTCTGCCTTTGATGCTGGTGATAGCTCAAAAGCGCAGGAACTTTTGCGCAAAGTTTTCTTCCTATCCCCTGAATGCCTCAAGGTATGGATCATTGTTTATCTAGCTGTGCATAGAGATTCTAGATTGACGTCTCCTTTCTACTTAGTACGTGAAGTTTTCGAGCTCAGTTTATGGATCTCTTATAAGAATATTTTACGCACCCAGCTCCGCCCATCTACCCTTTGGTGGAGATAAGTGTCTCTGATGCGTGGTTTATTATGTTTTTGAGCCCCTGTGTTTGTGTAACTCTGTTCCTGTTTTAGTCTGAATGCCAGAGATCCCTCAGCAGCGTCAGTAGAAGAGCTTGAGTAGTGGTAGAAGGAAAAAGAAATGAAAAGAGACCTACAGAAGAGAGTAGAGGCTCTATCATGAAGTGGGCGTTTTCCAGACATCAGCTGATTAACCCTATACTCACAAAATGACAGTTGCAAAAGTTCAGTATCTATGAGTCAAAAGTGGGGCTACTTCGCTCCTTGAGCAAGGGTACTGATCTCTGTACACAGCTTGGCCTCCACCATCGAGCGACGTGACTAAAATATTGCACTCATCTTTGAAAACGGGCTGCATTCCATCAGACAGTGCACGACAGTTTCGTCCTCTTTTGCCACTCAGTCTGCAGTGGGTAAATGATGAAGAAAAGCCGAACCGACCATTTTATCTACCTGACAAACTGTACAAGGAAGTTGCTTCCAGTAAATGAAAACTTGGTTTCCATTTGGACAGGCAAGATTATTACAAGCAAAGCTGCTGCTGAAGACTAAGGACTACGATGGAGTTGCAGTAGAGGCGGGACAAGTCCTTAAGCAAGACGATACCAACTTGGAAGCTCTGCTCTTGAGAGGACAAGCTTACTTTTATCTTGGAGATAATGACCTTGCTCTCAGGTGGGGTTCACTGAGGGGTTCACTCAACACTTTTTTGTCGTCACATCTTTAGTTTTGTAAGATAATGTTTTCAGAGCTACTTAGCTTCCAAAAGACACTTTACTTGTGGACCCCTATAGTTGATTGTGATGCCGTGATTGCTGTTGGCTTTTACGTGGGCTGTGCTGAACAGTATGTCATTTTCCGTGACTATATTGAGGTAAGACAGGAATTACAACATTTTCTTCATGTGTCCCCAGACATTACCAGTCAGGCCTTCGATCCGATCCGGAGCATAGTGGGCTGAAGAAAGAGTACCACAAGCTCAAAGCCCTCATAAAAAAGACGAAGAGCGTGGGTAACTCACCCTAAAAGCATTTTTGAGTCAGGAAATTTTGTTCCTTCTGCCTGTCAAATCTAGATTTAGACTCAATTTTAGATTTCAATTATCTGAGTTTCAGATTTCTGTATCCCTGACAGGCTGATGAGGCTGCATCGAAGGGCAAGTTCCGTTTAGCTGTTGAGGAGTATCTGGCAGCACTGAACATTGCACCGGATCATGATATCCACAACGTGAAACTCTACATGGGACTCTGCAATATTTGTGTCAAGCTTGGACGCGGCAAAGACGCAGTTGAACACTGCTCCTCCGTGTTGAAAATAAATGAAGAAAATTTGGACGCTTTGGTTCAGGTGATTTCTCCAGTCCGTCACGTACGACGTCGAGTTTCTATCGGGTTTCTCATGTCATCTAAAAGTCCATCTGAGTTGCAAGATCTTGATCACTGTGCTGGGCTCTTTGCTGCCTGGTTGTTAATATCATTCTATTAGAACAACGGAATATGCAGCGCTTTATTTTCTCACCGGAAATAAGCTGATTGGTCTGTATTGTGTCCAGTGTTAGCCGTAAAATGTCGTCTGGTCGTGAGGGAGATGTAAACCTATCTGAGATTTTGCATATCGCGTGCTATATCATGTTATGTGAATTACTGATATCAATGTCTAATGCATGTTCATAGAGAGGTGAAGCTAAGTTGCTAATTGAAGACTTTGAAGGCGCTGTTGCGGATCTCAAAGAAGCTGTGCAAAAATCCCCACAGGTACAAGGTTTACTTTGCAATATAAATTTGGATAAATGAGTAATGAGAGTATTTGCCTCACCAATAAGAAAATAACTTTTTGAAAACCGTCCTTGAACGAATCGTCCACCGGTATGGGTATAGTATGGTAGACAGCCTTTGATGCTTTGAGGAAGAAAGAGTACATCTAGTCAAGACTTTGTTTTTACAACACATGTCCTGCAGGATCGAAGCATAAGAGAGATACTCCACAAGGCAGAAAAATTACTGAAGGTAAGCAAGCGCAAGGACTGGTACAAGGTTCTACAAGTGGATAAGATGGCGTCAGCAGCCGATATCAAACGCGCGTATAAAAAGCTTGCTCTACAGTGGCATCCTGATAAAAATGTTGAAAATCAAGAAGAAGCCGAAGCGAAGTTTCGAGAGATTGCAGAAGCGTACGAGGTTCGTGTCTATTCACATTTGTTTCTCGTCGTTTGCGCTGACAGTTCCATCTGTAAACGTGAACTACCAAGATTGCTGGATGATGAAACTCACTTGCTCTCTCGTTTCGGTTTAACCATGTGATTCTTATTCGACCGGCAAATGTATTCATTTTCTGTAGATTTTGGGTGATGAGGAGAAGAGAGGTAGGTATGATCGCGGCGAGGATGAAGAGCAAAACATGGGTGGTCCTGGATTCGACCCATTTCATGGGGGTGGCCAAACATTTACATTCTACTATTGATGGAGTTTTTTCTCGTAGGTTTCCATCAACATTCTTTTTGAAATTGAATAAGATCTTAGATTGGCTCTTCACCCTGCCGCGGAAGAGAGTAGTAAGGGTGGCGTGGGCAAGCTTGTGACTTGGGTGAGGGGCAGTTAACTTGCCTTTTACTCTACAGGCCGGATAGTTCTTACTTTGTATAAAGGAAACAAGTGTTAAAGATATGAAAAGATGTTTCACTTGGGGTGAGACTTGCAAAGATTCTGTTCTGCGGAGAACTCTTTGTTCAATATCAGAACGAGTAAGGAAGCCGGAAATTGATGTGTTGAAACGTATGTTAAGAAAGATTGGAAGTTGCAGTATGTTATTGATGGATGTATACACTGCACTCGTATTTTCCGCACACCAGGAAAGTGTATGTAAGTTTATAGAGTCACTCACCAGGAATATTCCTTCATGCCAATTATTGAATCTGGAAATGAGCGATCCATATTGAATCGAATTGAGCGTAGCAGGCAAAATGAACGTTTCTACCTGCTACGTTTTCTCCCAGTCTAATCACAAGCAGACTGGGAGATATAGTTGATCAGCAAAAGCCGATTATGGAACCACTCACTCACTCTTGTGTGTGGTGTGTGGGTAGATCCTCAAACTCATGCGCCTTATCAGTGCACACTGCGGCGTTGAAACTCATTTTGTAGCCAATTGTCGTAAGTAATGTCCAAAATAATGTCTTCATACTTCTCAGGTTGGACACAAACAAATACATGCGAATTTGTAACCGTTTGAAGTGGCCAAATGAAACCTCATATGTATGCTTAACTTGTAAGCGTATTTCATATTAATGTAATTTGTAACTGTGTGAGGTAGACACTGAACAAGTATGTGGAGATTGAACAAATATGTGGAGATTGCCGAAGCTATAAATTTGGTACTTGCGGGATCTATGTTTCGTAGTATTTGTCTGTCAATATCACTTTCAGGATTTTGTATGGGATAGATAATCTTTCATGAAGGCCTTATATTGTAAACGTGAAGAACATGGATCAACTCCAAAATTTTTAAGAATTCTACTATATGAAAAATGAACCGCAGATTGTGTAATTTACAAATCACTCCGGTCATAATATCTGTAAAACTGAACTAATCTATGAAGAATGCTTTGCTAATTAAGCGATCACATCCAAATATTATTTTTTTTGAAATGAAATTAACATGGAAAAAATGATTGTATAGTATAATTTTTAATATTGATTAATTACTTTTTACTTTTATTAGGTCATTAATAATTTATTTTGTTTCTCATATGAACATTCATATAGATATTCATCAACAAAATCATAGTCTGATTACTTATTGTTCAAATTTTGCAATGCACATGTTTGCATTTGGTTGAACATCTCTTATAATGCACAAGAATTTTGAAGAAAGAAAATCAATTGAAGAGATTTTCTTACATGTAAAGTGTTTATATTTAATATTATTACTTGTGTGTACAACTATGATATCAATGGTTTCATATCCCTGCAACAAGAAATTTTAGTATGGATCTTGTGATAGATGATAGAGGCATGTTATTATAAATTTTTTAGGTCAAGTAAAATTCACTCAAATCAAAATTAACAATTTATGTTAATTAATAATTATTTTAGTTAATTAGAACTAAAGTAGAAATTACTCTAAATGTTGATATAGATACTTTAGCACACACTAGTCATAGTTATCATGTCAACAATCCACTCGCTTGGTAGGTAAAGAGTATGTGCGTTACTTGACAACGGTCACGTCAACGATCCATATGCTTGTTAGGTAAAGAGTATGTGTGTTACTTGACAACGTCACGTCAATGATCCATATGCTTGTTAGGTAAGGATTGAGTGTGTTAGTTGACAACGTCACATTAACAATCCATGTGTTTGTTAGAGTTATTTGTCACGTCATCCATTCACTAAGAGTAGTATGGATTGTGAGTATAAGATCTTATCTGCTTTGTACTCGTTAGTGAGAGCTATAAGGGAGAGTAGAACCATTGTTGTTATCTGTCATCTTCAAAATTTATGTTTACATCTTCGAGTGAATTTCTCTTAAAACCCTAGTGTTATAATGATATGAAATCAAATTTGCTCTTTCCTTGAATGTGGGTTATTTCTCATGATATAGCAAGTGAGTGATCATGGAGTGCAATATTGTGAGTGTATAAAGGCTTGCAGAGGTCATTGATTTGCATGTAGAGAGAGTGGAAAAGAGGAAATTGTGGTTTTGTAGATATGGACGTGTTTGAAAGGAATCTAATACCTCACTGGCCAATTTCTAACCTATTCGATATTCACCTTCGTTGCATGGAGAAACATCAGTTTTGGATGTACATTGTGCAGAATTCCGTAAAATCGGCGAACGCCAAATCTATCAAAAATATTTTAATATTAGTACGCCATCTGGTCTTAAATTCAGCATTGGCCGAAGTTAACCAAATGCGTATGCTTTATTACTAGAGACATGTAGTAATAAAGCATGCGCTTTGTCGGACACGGAAACTTGTTTATCTTCTAGTTGAGAAGAAAACAAGACTATACTCCTCCTATCCGTGTGATTTCGAGTTCGTTTCGAGTACTCCTTAGTGTAATGTCAGAAACTACTCATAACTCTCATCTAATCATACTCCAAATTTGGAGATTGATTATCGGTGTCTGATACTAAACTATTTGCCTCTCTCTCTCTCGCTTAGATGACAAAAACCTCAACGTATTCTGTTAGAAATCACTCACAACTAGCCTAGAACATTATGGCTAGCAGGTCACACAAGTGAGCACTTTCCATACGTGAGACTACAACGACAAACCTATCCGGATCCCTGAAAACTAGATTTCGGCAATCTCTAGACGACTCGTTCCACTTTCAAGTCTACTGATCTCACTATTGACGAAAACTTTTTAGAAGTTCAGGTGAGCCAAACCGAGTATACCTCAGTCTGCTCTAACCCTAGCGACAGTGTTTTCCTGTGAGAATATTAGAGATTTGAAAAATGATGTTTCAACTTCCACGACACACCAGCAAACCCACTGCTCAATCTCGGAGTCTAGAACGATTCGGGTCCTGCCTTACCACTTCCTTCACCTTCACATCTGGTCTGCAATGGAATCTCGCTTCTCTTAGATCTACAACACTTAGACAAGAAGCCAGAAGTACAATAGCGCAGGAAAACACGATACTTTCTACTGATAAGGAATTAGAGAAGAAAATATGCAAGAACAAAGATCGGGCCGAACTCGCAAGCTCCACTTAAATAAGTAGAGGCCACACAAAAGCAACGACGCCAAAAACTCACTCAAGAATCCACTCACAAACCCTAACTCCTAAAACTTCTCCAATCTTATCACTACGAGTAGTACGAACTTCAGATCCTACTTCTACCCGAAAATCACTACTGCACTATCTACTTGATCTTTGGCTTTTTCTCCTTGTCCTCGACTTCGTTCTTGACTTTGTGGCTGACTTTTCTCTAGTAGCCTTTCAGAACCGAAGGGGTGACTGACTTCTTTCTGTTCGCCTCTCAAAACCAAAGAGGTAATAGACTTTTAACTCATTTTACTATTTCTATTCATCTGGTTTTGCTTAACTACTAAGTGAATCATTTCTAACCCATATTCTATCTCCTTAAGCAAAAAAAATGAGAAGTATTACAAGTTCTAGTTCCGGTTCTAGGCTAATCTTGAAATTTCTATCTTTGGAGGTTCTCATACGCTTGATGGATTTCCATGCATCAATCAAATGCGCAATTCTTTATTCTTACAGATGCGTCAGTAGGTCAAAATCTTTTGCTTGGAAAACCTCCTCCGGTGCCAGACAAGTCAAATCCGTGCCCCGATCGTCCTTCTTCCACTTGTCGACTCCACCAACTGAGTGTTGGCAAACACGGTGGCTCCGCATCATAATTGTCGCAGACAACGGAATGAATCGTTCGATACACAATCATGGACGTCATCCCAACCAACTTTAAACATCATCTCGTGATCATGTTGGTCAATCTTGATCTTGACGCGTTCATTGACAATGTACTCTCGGCATAGTGAGCGATGATTGCTTTCAATCTCCTCGACCTGCTCCACAGAATAGAACTTCGCTATATGAGCTTGGCGTGAATCGAGTACCTCGGCGATAAATATACGCGCTGGCATCTTGATTAGCTCAGCCGGCATCACCGGAGGAGCAAGTGAAGCGGCAGCCTTGTTCCAGTTATCACGTTCTCCCTAGACATCTCACATATCCTCAAGGATATGGATGATGAATTTGCAAATTTTCTGTAGAACTTTCGTCTTGTTGCCTTCTGAGGTGGCAATTTTTTAGATAGAAAATAAAGTGGTATTTTTCAATTTTTTTTGCAAAAAAATATCTATTAGATTAACTTATATTAGATCAATAATATAAAAGTTTATACATAGCTATCTTGGCAATGGATCAGACTAGATAAAAATCGATGGCACCTGCCATCTCATGCATATGAAAGTTAGTGTAAGGTTAGAAACTTTTCTTATTTAAGTTGTCTTAATTGTATCTCTAGAATACACTCATAAATGTTTATCACCAAAAATTTCTAGGGTTTACGGTAGTAGGTTTTTAGCACTCAGAATCAAATCAAATGGTGTTGGTGCCGGAGGTTTGTGAGAAGAACGACAGCGTTGCTGGTGGAAACAAAGGTTCAATGAAATCTCCAAGGGAGTAGAGAGTTAGAATTAGCTTGCGGAGGCCTTAAGAACCGGGAAAGTTGAGATCGACGATTGCTGGTGTATGTTGTGAGGTGCTGGTGCACTTCCTTTGCCACTAAGAAGTTTTGGATTGCTATCATTGCTTGGGGGCGATACGCTGAGATGTCTTGACGCATATCAATATTTCAACATCAAGAGGTACGTGGATCAGAAGATGGCGAGGTAAAGGCCCATTTTCAAGACGTCGATCATGGCCAGCCCACCATAGTTCTAGACTTTCCGCTTGGCAACAAGCTGCGGTTTCACGAGGATGAGAAGCATGGTGCTGGCTTCGAATGGAGTGATTCTCAGTTTAGCTTTGTATACATCCCGTGCTCTAGATCCAATAAAGCTCCTGTTGTCTAAAGAGTTACTCATCGTAAATGGTGGAGATTAAGAACTCCTAACAGGTGCGTGAAGAACATAACTAGCATCACTTTTGTCATTGAGCGTCTTGAAGCTCCTCTGGTTTCTTCCATCGGAGAATTCAATTCTATCTATGGATCAAAGAGAAGGCTATCGATGAACCTATTGCAAAGAGATGTCGAGCTGAAATTGGAGCTTCATTCTCATCGTGGCAGCAATCGATGCAAATA